ATTCGAGCCGTTCATGCCAGACTGGGGAGAGAGGTGTTGTAATAATGTAAAATATGTGAAAAATAATGTGTTTTTCGAACAACCTAGTATGAGAGCCTGTTCTAGTACACCCCCAAAACAAAATCAAGACTTTGTAAAAGAGCATAATAGGACCCCTTTAAAGGCCTATTCATTCAAGTATGTTCAGGGTGAAAATTTGGTGTAATAAACATTTTAATTTGAATGAATTCAGACCAACACAAACATTCACATACCATAAAATTTTTACTGCTAAGAAAACTGGGAACTAGGGCTGTGACGGTCGCCGTGACAACCGCGTCACTGTTGTCTACCGCCACCAGCGGTAGTGCACGTGACGTCACGCACTCTATAACAAGCATAATACGAAGTTTTGTATACAAGTGTAATAACAGTAATAACAGTAGCGGAACAGTGAACCGTGTCTACACCGGACGCAACACCGCCACGTCGCAACAGGTTGAGTCTGTCTAGTGTCTACACAGGACATTTGAACTCTGTGTCAGTACCTCATAAATAGAACGAGGCAGTTTACTGTTGGGGATTTGTCATGTCGTGTCGTGCCGCATCCAGTGTAGCATCACTGATTATAATGAGTTTTATAGTATTTTGTCGCGCCGCGCAGCTCGCGTCCTGTTGACAGGGTGTATTTAACTTTCTTATTTAGGCTACTTTCTTGTTTGACTGTATTATTTTTTGTATAAAAAATTATTGTATTATTTTTTGCAGGCTGCGTATTCACTGACTGAAGTGCTAAAATAAACACGAGCTGACGAGTTAAATTAGATTAGATGAGTGAGACAGTGCTGGGCTGCTCCTGGACAGTTCTGAAAACCTTGGTCAGCCAGATCAGCTGCTGGTACATAAGACTTGCTGCTGCTCACGAATAATCTACAATGCTAAACAATAGTGCAGAGCAGAGGTAAAATCCACAATTGGCTCTCTTGTCTCTGTACTCTTATATTTGGTTTTGGGAATACAAAAACCTGAAAGGCTGTTTTCTTTTCTATAAGCGCCACCTACTGTCAGAGAGTAAATCTGCATTTTCATTCAACTCATCGGCTGTTTTTTTTTTTTTTTTTACACAATAATCTGAACAGACAAATCGCACGTGAAAATCGGACAAACATTTGTGTTGGTGTGAACACCTCTTTACAGTCACATTATCTTCAAAAAATAAGACTCAAGAGTAAAACCAACACCTAACATCACATATTCTCATGTTTCTCAGTCCTACAGAGAAGTACAAAACACTTGTGGTTTGAATATTCAGGTGACAAAGGAGGTGTCTGGTACTCACCTATGCTGTATGCTATGAAGTCTGAGGAGAAGCACTTCGCCCCATGGCTCATTGAGGTGTCGTTGTGCGTGTTCCCTCCAAACACCAACATGTTCCCGCCAACAATCACTGCCGTGTGGAGGTAACGGAAAAAACCACTGTCTCTCAGAATCAACCTACAGATTAATCAAAGACATCATTAGCGAAAGCAAAAAACAGAGTCAGACTATGTTCATAGTACCATGCTAGCATACCACTCAGAGACCATGTACATCATACCATGTGTGAGCTTTCTCTATGAATGTACACTACCATTCAAAAATTTGGGTTGGGCAAGACTGTTTAAATGATTTTGAAGAAGTCTTATTCTCATCAAGGCTGCACTCATTTCATAAAAAAAAAACAATAAAAATGAAATATTACAATAAAAAACACTAGTAGTTTTAATTTGAATACATCTGAAATATTATTTATTCCTGTAACTGCAAAGCTGAATTTTCAGCATCATTACTTCAGTCTTCATTGTCACATGATCCTTCAGAAATCATTCTAATATGATGATTTGTTGCAGATTTTTTTCAGAAGTTCTAAAGAACAGCATTTATTTTAAACTGAAATCTTTGTAAAATTGTAACATTATATATGTCTTTACTGTGACTTTTGATTCATTTAATGCATCCTTGCTGAATAAAAGTATTAATTCTGTGCAGAAGTGCAGGGCCTATAAGGCACCTTTACTTGTACTCTAAAACGAAATAACATTGTAATACTATGCAATATGGGATAAAACGGAATGTTCCCAGTTCCCTGCATCTTTCTCGCCATGGTTTGTAAGATGAGCTGTTTGCATTTTCTGAGCTGACCCTTAATATTGAATCATCTCTTTCTTTAGATGTTAAATAGAAGGAGTTAGTGGCTAATCTAACAGGAGTAAGAGAAGCATGAAGAGAAATGATAGCTATTAGTGCAGTACAGTATGTGTGACAAGTCACTGCCCCCTGCTGGCAAACTTTCTGACAAATCGTATTCAGCATCCTGGTGTGGGCCAGTATAACTGAGTTCAGCTCATAAGGACAGAGCAATTACCCTCAGGGTCGAGAAAGGCCTCTACTTAATTACAGATTACCACAGCGCTAGCCTGAAACTCAAAAGAGAAGTTGGCAAGGGAAGAACAAGAGGAAGAAATTTTTTAAGTGGAGTGAAATATAATGATGAATAAGCAAACGCAAACACTTCTGATATGTTTGAAGCTTCCTGTGTATTATACAGGCAATACAAACTCCTCAAAGACGCTCGGAATTTCAACCCACGCATCATATTCTCACATTCAAGAGCCGCCGTATTCAAGTGCTCGTAGTGCATCTATTCTGACATCATACTCATAGCATCCCTCATTATCTAAATGAAAAGCGAGATAATAGCACCAGACAGGCATGTCTCCGATCCCTGGAGATTACAAAATTCAAATGTGTCACTCATAAAATAATGGCTTCAAGATCACGCATCCATCTGCAAGAAGCCCCCCTGATGAGTGTATTTCGGTCTCTAATGGCTTGCTGCTACACGCACAGAAATCCAATTATGGTTTCTGTGTGAGTGTCTCTTCTGCTGTTCAACATTGTGAAAGACAGAGATATTATATACATATGATACCATACGAGAGAGGATGCAGTAAGCGAGCGATTTAGAATGTAAAAAGTTCTTAAAGGTAGGCGAATGACAGTTTAAGAAAAATCTCACTACATAATCATTCAATACAGTTATTTTGCTGGAAAGTGAATTACATTCTTTACGTACGATTTTAAAAACTTGTTGGAAGCAATAAAAAAGTATTACAAATGAATATGTTTAAAAGGCCTGTTCATGCTAAGACGTTGGGCCATATAATTAATTGCTCTTCACTATCGTTTAGCATTATAGATTATTCATGAGCGGCAGCAAGTTTTATGTACCAGCAGCTGATCTGGATTTTACCTAGGCAGAGGTAAAATCCAGAATTGGCTCTCTGGTCTCTGTACTCTTATAATTGGTGCTGGAAATACAAAATCTGAATGGCTGTTTCTGCTTTTCTATAAGCACCATCTATTGTAAGAAATTGAATCTGCATTTTTTTATTGAACTCACCTGCTGTTTTTTTTTTTTACACAATCTGAACAGACAAATCGCATGCGAAAATCGGACAAACAAATGTGTTGCTGTGAATAGGTCTTTAGGTTCGACTTCAAAAAATAAGACTCGAGAGTACAACCTCCTAATTTTGAATGGATAAATCACATTATTGTATATATAGTTAGGCTGCCCAGTCATACACAGATGTACGGAACACTTGTAATTTGAACATTCAGGTGACAAAGACGGTGTCTGGTACTCACCTATGCTGTATGTTATGAAGTCTGAGGAGAAGCACTTCGCCCCATGGCTCATTGAGGTGTCGTTGTGCGTGTTCCCTCCAAACACCAACATGTTCCCGCCAACAATCACTGCCGTGTGGAGGTAACGGAAAAAACCACTGTCTCTCAGAATCAACCTACAGATTAATCAAAGACATCATTAGCGAAAGCAAAAAACAGAGTCAGACTATGTTCATAGTACCATGCTAGCATACCACTCAGAGACCATGTACATCATACCATGTGTGAGCTTTCTCTATGAATGTACACTACCATTCAAAAATTTGGGTTGGGCAAGACTGTTTAAATGATTTTGAAGAAGTCTTATTCTCATCAAGGCTGCACTCATTTCATAAAAAAAAAACGAAATATTACAAATATTACAATAAAAAACACTAGTAGTTTTAATTTGAATACATCTGAAATATTATTTATTGCAAAGCTGACAAAGCTGAATTTTCAGCATCATTACTTCAGTCTTCATTGTCACATGATCCTTCAGAAATCATTCTAATATGATGATTTGTTGCAGATTTTTTTCAGAAGTTCTAAAGAACAGCATTTATTTTAAACTGAAATCTTTGTAAAATTGTAACATTATATATGTCTTTACTGTGACTTTTGATTCATTTAATGCATCCTTGCTGAATAAAAGTATTAATTTCTTTAAAAAGTCTTACAGACCTCAAACTTTTAAATGGTAGAGTATTCTATTTCTGTTTTGTTAAATCAACCACTATATAAACAGAATATCAAGGAGGTAATATTATTTCATTTAATTGCATTTTTAATTGCGTAATTGCAATATTGGGTTTTAAAAAAATGCAAAATAAGCAGACACTCCATTTTAAAGGGGTCATATGATGCGATTTCAATTTTTCCTTTCTCTTTGAAGTGTTACAAGCTCTTGGTGCATAAAGTACACCCCATCTGAATAAATATAAAAGATGTATTTTCTTAATGATCACTAATATAATTCATGGAAAGATGGCAACATTGTAAACAATAAAAATAAAAATAAAAACAACAAAATATATGCCAATATTTTCTGTAAGATAAGTCAATTAGCCAATTTTGTTTAAATTAAGGATTGCAGAAATGAGTACACCCGAGATTTAATTCAGAAAATGTATAATATTCTAGTACTTAGTATGTCCTCCA